TTCATAACGGAGACTGAATGTTAACTCGATTTTAACAGCTCCTGCCAAGTCAAGCCATGTGAGTTCCTCTGACCCGATTACCGCCACATGATTAAACAGCCAATTACATTGCGGCAAAAGGCCCCAGAATAGCCATTCTGGGAGCAGAAATCATCAGATCCACTCCACTGTTATTCTGAAAGGAGAAATACTGGATCAATGAGTTCTAGGCTTTAAGCAAAAATGTCAGTATTTCTATAGGACTTTTCTTCCAAAGCTCACTAATAAAAGCATGTCATATAGAACAACTTGTTTGTAATTAAATTTTGGGGCTTATCTGATTAATCATAATTTAGAATCATTTCTTAGAATGAAGATCAGAATGTAATCCGCCTTAAAATCTTCGGCTCAGAGGGATGAATGGCACGTTTCATTTAACATTTCACATGATTTCAGCTGTCGGCCGTGCAGTAATGGTGCCACAGGAAATGAGAACAAAGTTGTGCTGTTAGACCCAGGAAGTCCACACAACCCTGTGAATGGCTTGGGTGCCCCAGAACAATAACATCAGCCCACCCGCTCCCCAATGAGCCATGCACATTCCATGCATTATCTCCTGCGTTGCTAAGAAAAGGAGCCACTTTCTTACAGGATTACATTACGTCTTAACAACTCTGACAATGTGAAAAACTCAAGTACACATGACTTGAAGAACTTGTTGGGTTCAAAGAGGCTGTTTGATTTAAAAAATAATTTTGTACCAATTATATATTTTCAAATACCCTACCATGTGGTAGCTGTAGTCTGGCAGTAAGCATTCATTGCTGTCTGAAAGGTTGAAATCTTTGTTTCAGGGGCAAAATCTGAAACCTTTTGAGGAAATTTGTTTTCTTAAAATATATTTAGCAGATTAACACCGAAAACAATGAACACATGTTATTATTTTAGTATTAGAGTTAAGAAAAGTGTTTTAAAAAATAGCTTAAAGGGAGAGTTCAAAAATGTTTATTCTCTCATGATTTACTCATCCTCAGGTTGTCCCAAACCTTTATGAGTTTCCTTCTTCTACTGGACATAAAAGAAGATATTTTGAAGAATGTGGGCAAACAAACAGTTGCTGGTACCCATTGCCTTCCATAGTATGAGGGGAAAAAATACTAAAAAAGAATATGGAAGTCAATAGGGACCAAAAAGTGGCACATTCTTCAAAACATTTTCAATTGTGTTCAGCAGAAGAAAGAAATGATGCAGGTCTGGAACAAATTGAGGATGACAGGATATTCATTTTTGGGTGAACGATCCCTTTAACGTTTTACCAAGAAGCCCAACCCCTCCATATGCCACAGAACTAGCTGGGACTGCTGGGTAGATCAGTTTCAAAGAAATATAATCCATCAATTTCCCACCCCAAAAAACATTATTAGCTGTAATGCAACCATTTTTCTGTGCCATGTGAACCGCATGGGTTTTTCTACAGAGCAAACGTGATTAGATTTAGCTTAGCTGTCCTCACTATCCGAGTGTCAGAGAAAAAGAACTGCTTTCCCCCCCAAAAAAATGATTTTCATTGAGTTCACTGTTGACTGGCACAATATTAATTACTGAAACAAAGGATCTGATTCTCAACGCACACACGTTTCCACAATCAACTCATTTTACCCATGAGGTGGGGACGGAAAAGTGCTCTACCGAAGGTAATGGAGGACAAACTCTTTTTTAATGCTGCTCCTAACACGCCATGGGGAATTACTAGATGTTGCATATTTTATATCTTATTATGTCACATTGTTTCCGCAACCCTGTTGCACACTGAGAAAAGCAGTAGCATGGCAGGTTTACTCTTGGTACAAGTTTAAAGATGTAGTTCACTGCATCAAAAAAAAAAAAGAACGTTTTGTCATTATTTACACACAAATATGTTCCAAACACATATACTGCTTTTTGCCATGGATTAAAATTGTTTGTAAAATCATTATGCTGCTCTTGCAATGCAACAGTTAGCAGACGCTCTCTAGCTCCAAAAAGCACTAAGGTTTCAAACAACATTACGGATATTTTAGTTTTTGAGTGAGCTACTCCTTTAAGTGGTTAGTTACTATATCAAATGGAAGACAATCAACCAGGGCAAAACAACCTTGAGGGTTATTAATGCAATCTTAATCGTTCCTTCATTCATGGGCCAATTAAGCTTTATATAGCATTGCTTTAAGAAACCACAAATACAATATGACATCAAATCCCATAAATAACTATGACCTTCTTCATCCAAATAAGTATGCCCTTTTAATTACTGGGCTTTGGAATGGAAAACAGACACAGAGAACATTAAGCATGATGGATCAGACCAAGCTCACGATACTATCCGATTATACAAACACAAATAATGAAACACACACATCACATTATATAAGTGAATCTATATCATATCATAAAAAAATATCATATGTGAACAGTCAAAAATGCCACAATCTATTTAACAATACAGAAACTCTGATTTAGTGATTGCATTATAAAATTAGTTGAATAATATATTTTGGTTTCATATACTGTATATGCCCGCACAAATTTTGTGGGACGAGTTACACACCACATTTTAGTGCATAAGGGTATAAGCACTAGCAATAGTGATGCAGCACTAAAAATGTTCATTTCTGTACAGTGGCATCCAGCTGGTTAAAAGATTCCTCGGTACGAACAGGCCTCACTTTCACTCTAAGAGCAGATTCTAGTTTTGGCAGGTTCACAATGGGCACTGAAGCACCCAGCGTGCAACCCGATCAGCCCCTGCACGGATTCCACCTCCTAGGACATTGTTCTGGGAGATAAAGGCAAGTGGCGGGGATAAAAAAGGACCAGCAGATGGCAAAGAGAGAGAAAGAGTGGGCAGCCTGACTCATCTGACCTAGGACTAGCAGCTGTCATCCTCTCTGCATAACCACACACACAACTGGAGCTGCTGAACGCTCCTGTCCGGATACACTTACAAACAAATTGCCAGACAATTAAACAACTCGAACAAGTCAGAGGAACGCTTTCGACACATTTCAAGTTACAATATCCCAATTACTATCAAAAATGAACAAGGGCTTAAGGCAAAAAAAATGCTACCATAAGTGACAAAAATGCCTCAATATTTAAAATATGGGAGGAGAAATGCTTTCTATCCTTTATAAGTATAAATAATTAAATTCTGACAAATCTATATATATATTTTTGAATTTTTAAACGTATTTATATTCTTAATTAGTAATGGATTCAGTGACTGCAGACACCGCACACTGACTGTAAAAAATTACAAAAAAAATACTATTTCAGACTTTCTTCTTCAAAAACGCACATTTAATTCAGCATGTCATTTCTTTGTAATTATTTGTGAAATTTATTAGCTGAAAAGGTTACATTTTTTTCAGTGTGTTGGCCTGTAATTGTCATTTATTCATACTCACAGTCTTAAATGCTAATTTGGTGCTAATATGATGGTTTTTGATGCAAAAGACTAAAATCTGATTTGAAAGCTACAAACAGATGCATTGTTAAAGGTAAAAAAGCTACTTATAATCTATTTGAAGCGAAAAGTTCATTTCTGACACTGACTCCCACCCAAACTAAACCAAAATCTGGCCACCTTAGAACCTGATAGAGTAGATTTTCAGCCCGAGTTGCTCAGATCACGGTTTTATTGGGCCAAATTGTACACAACAGTTTTTTTCTGTGGCCACACTTGAACAGGCGTTCGACAGAGAATTCCTCTGGCGCCAGCATGCTCTTGTGATTGATGGATGCACACATCACAAGACAAAAGAGGCAAAGTGTGCATTTCTCCTCAAGACCTTTCCGTCACCGTGATGAAGAGATTCCTGACTTGTACAAAAAGACAATCAGTGATGCTCACTGCAAGCATGCAGACAGATGAACAACATGTGAGGGATGTTTTATAGGAATCAATTTAAGAAATTGACATTAGAACATTAATATTTCCTAAATCTCTGTCCAACTGAATAGTAAAAATAATGACAAAAAAAAAATAATGATGCTTCACCTCGCTATAGATGAAAATAATCAGTGTTGGGGAAAGTTACTTTTAAAAGTAATGCATTACAATATTGCGTTACTCCATAAAAAAGTAACTAATTACGTTACTTAGTAACTTTTTATGGAAAGTAATGCGTTACGTTACTTTTGCGTTACTTTTTAAATCTGGACAGGGCTTGCTTGTTTGTTTTTAAAATAAAAAAGTTCTATTTTTTGCAAAAATAAAAGCCTTTTCACACCAAAAGTGAAATGAATAAGCGTCAGGCTGAAGGGAAAGTACATTTACGTCCGTACAGTAGAATGCAGAAGAAGAAATTTCAACACACACAAATGTTCGTCTAGAGTAATTTGTGCTTATTAGTACGGTTGAACTGGATCGTCGAAGGTCAGAAGCAAAGACATTAACTAATATAATGGGATTAAATACATAAAGCATATTTGTGTTGTTTAACATTTAATTATTGCAGGTTTGCGTCATATTCGGAGTTGCATTATTTTTACTCATTTTGAGGAATACTGAATCTGTGTTTGTTTTGTTTTTTTGTGAGTGCGATGAATTAATGCATATTAATATTTATTTTAGAACTACAGTAACATCTTCTGATTTCTCTCAACACTGTGAATATAACTTATTTGAAAAAGTAACTCAGATATTCTCTTGTAAATTAAAAAGTAATGCGTTACTTTACTAGTTACTTGACCAAAGTAATCGGATTACGTAACTCACGTTACTTGTAACGCGTTACCCCCAACACTGAAAATAAACGTTTATAATTTTGGAACAGCTATCCCAAACATCACATCTGGAACTCTAATGTGTGCATTAGAACAGACTGGTTCAGTTTACTCTGATCATGTAAACATGGTTGAGCAAACCAGGTGAGAATCCGAAATAAACATCTTAATAAATGTGCATAGCATAACAAGGTTGAATAGACTTCTGCAGGCGTGGAAGAGCAAATCCAAACATTTCCTGTAGTTTCTCTTACCTGTTAAACACTTTCTTCATCCTCTGAAACAGCGATGGTGATGCGGTGACCGTCTCTGATGGCATGGTCTCAATAGTGGTGACAACATGGTTCTGGTGCTCGGGCATCATCTCTAAAGCTGGAAACTAAAGCGGTCAATCAGTAAGCAGTGATCATTCCTAAGGCTTTGGTTATTCCGAGCAGCTCCAGCTCTCCATATTGCAGGTGAGAATAACCAAACAGGTGTATGTATCTCCAGTAAGTGATGGAGGAGGGATGCTGGAGGCTCCTAGAAGTCACTAGATGTTACAGATTCATGCGCGACGATGCACCTGTTCCCCTGTTGGCTTTCTGAGCAGATGTTTCCCGGTGGTTCGGTGCGCATTTTCTGAACGCCAGAGCAGGACTGCCGTGATTGTTGGGAGGCGGTGCGTTTTTGAGAGAAATAGACAGTTTGACCGCTAGAGGCCACTGTTTCCGACGGTACGCGTCAACCAATGAGAAGCATTTAAAAGTGAGGCTCATTAAATAAAGAGCTGTAATAAAGAAATGTAAGCACATTTGTTAAATGTAACAATAAGTACTGTAATACATTTTTTTTAATCATATTTAGTAAATCTAAGAAAAAATGTGGGGATAAATAAATGTAAGCACATTCATAAGTGAATGTAAAATATTTCTACAATGTAAAAATAAAATACAGTGATAAATGTAAGCATATTTATTAAAAAAGACTAATAAATATTTGTTTTAAATATTTAATTTTATTTTGGAATTTAATTACAGATTTGTTAACGCGGGTATATATACAGAGAGAAATTTAAATAAATTATTGCATTTAAGAAAATAATCAAATAAAGTCAAATAACTTTTGGAGTTAATAGGAAAAAAACACTTTAATCAACTTTTCACATATAAAAATATAGGCCTATATGTAAGTAATTACAATAATACTAAATACGTTTTTATAACATACAGCAATAATTTAGACAATGCTGAGAAGGAAGAGCAAGGAGAAAGAAAAAAATATTTGCACCGATATGTAGACAATCACTACAAAGGGACAATTACAGTTTGCTTTCGGTTTATTAATAAATCAGGTGCAGGGGAAAGGGGCCACAAAGCTTACATATCCTCCTGAGACCCAGAAATAAAAAGCTTTGTGAATTTAGTTTTTTTTTTCATGTCATTACATTGTTTAGAGCATAAGAAAAAAATGATCAAATAACATTATTGAAAAATTCTATTTTATTTTTATGTTATGCTATGTCCTCTGTAGAGCCAGGACTAAAAATAAAATGACAAGAGTAGACATGAAAAGGCAAAAACAATGGGATTTTTTTTTTTAAATCACCAGTCAATTTTTAGGTTTCAAGAGTTTTTTATACCTAACTGTGTTTAAGGATGGTTCTCAACTATGTTATAAAATATATAACAAAATTATTTGATATACCATTTTGCTTTATGAAATATGTGTGTAAAAATTCCATAAACTGATTTTCCCATTAAGCACAATGTTATCTATACACTGTATCTAATTTGCATATTAAAGTGCTGTTGGGACAGCATGTTGAAAAAAGAAGTGTAATAATGGGAGTAGTAACTGGCCAGATTTTCATAATAATATCTAATATTTCATAAGAATATTGATATATAATTTGTTTTCCTATTCAATTCTTTTGTCTCCCAAAATGTATAATAAACATGCTTTTAGTCCTGGTGTCCTCTACAGTGGACGTGTATGAAATTATGTCCTGTTTCATAACAGGAAGACATATTTTGATTTGAAACCCCATAACATTTTCCTGAGATGTTGATTTATGACAAACAATTAGAAAATTAGTCAGATTTAAATTATAATTACAAAAATATTATCATATTTCCATAACGATGTACAATTTTATCACTAAATTAATGTCAGCCATTTTTAAAAACCAAGGAGAGGGAGTGGTCA